CACTTATAGTAATATACCGAACATAACAAGATAATCATAACACTTACAACATATTCTTTTCCTGATAAGAATATCATAATAAGCATACTCTTCAACAAAATAATCATGAAAAGAAAATACAACACTAAAACTCAATTCCTAAACTCAGGATGGAACTATAGAGATCTCAATGCTTCTTTTTTGTGTTTTTGATGCTATAAACATTAATTTGTATATACTCTAATCAACCTGGAAAAATACAGCTTCACTAATTTGAACATTTGATATTCTTCAACTTGGTCTAGGCAGAGCTATTGTGCTTCTTGCAAGGTATTTGATGAATCATGATAAGTGGGCCTATTTCGAAAATGTCTGTGACTACTAATATTCACTATTAACAGTGGACTCAATATTATTTTTTATGATGACTTTAGAGTGAAGATGAGTAGCCATTTTTGGTAAGATGCTATATGTGAATTTACAAGAGAAAAGAGAGAAGATTTCATGACATTGATAGTAGGTTCATGTAATAAAGTCAAATAAAACATATTGAAGACTAGACTAATACTAGTGTTTCCTTGGATTTCCAGTTTTGAAGCTTTCACTCCAATATTCTATAAGAGTTTATATGATCCCACTTTTCTTTTAGTTAATTTCTTATAGGTCATTGTGAGAAATCTTTCAAGACACTATTACTGTGTCATTTGATCTAAATTCTACTTCTCACATCCAACCAGTTTTTAATTGGCAATTATTAATTTGGTTTATTTGAATATTATGAAGCTAACACATATGTTATACAAATTCACTAGGTCTGAACTAGATCAGAAACTCAAAAGTATGAATAGTGTCTTTAGGTTAAGACTCCAACAATTTTAAATGGACTCATACATGTAGATTTTTTAAAGATGTATTGTATGCAGGTTCAGTCATAAACATATCAAATACCATCATTTGTGTGTTCTTCATAGTAGATCACTTAGACTCTTATTAACCGTCATAGTTGGTCTCAAATTTGTGCGTGAAATTGATGCAGCTCAAATATTGAAAGAGATCTCAATTTTAGCTTGCTCAAAATAACTGATATGCTTATGAATTCATGCGCATCATCTCCATCATCCTTATCACATCCTTTTTCAATATTAATATGCAAATTTCTTCCAGCGCCTAAACTTGAGAAGTGACCCATCTGATGTCATTTAAAATAATTTATAATTGTAATCTTAGACACAGGTATAGAAATTATAGATTTTCCTTGATAATCTTTGTTAAGGGTATTCCTTCAGAAGCAACATTTCGAGTATTTTAGCTAAAAGAGGCATTTCTATTAAATAAAGAAATTCGTGTATGTTTGAAAAATATTTGTACTTCAAAATTTATGATAAATTGAAATGCATCTTTAGGTGATGTCATTTCTCTATTAAGCTTTAGAGATTAAGCTAAATCTAAAACCATGAAGCATTAATTTTGGGTTCTCCTTTACTTTGGTTTGTAGTAATAACTCCTAAAATTTATTCATGCATTTAATTACAATATTGGTTTCTTGTTTCAATGAGTTAAATTCATGAAGCAGTTGATGTAGGTATTTTTTTTAACAAGAATTTCTTTTTAGTTGATGTGGTAGTAAATTCTATTTCTAACCATTACCTTTGTCTTGCCGTGCGCTTCTAGTACATTTTAAATTGTGCAGTTATTTTTAGTTTCCTTAAGCTTGTACACCTTGAATGGTTTGCAAATCAAAGAAGTTATATATTTTTACCTTTTTAGAAAAAGCATAGAGATTATTTCATGCTAGAAAAGTCCTTGCGGTAGAGTGAAGATTTTACATCATAGCTTTACATGAAGATCTCACCCACACATTTTGATGAAATGAGTCATGCAACAACAAAGCTTTTATGTAAAAAATTTGGACGAGGAAAAATTACATTGGGCTTGACTATAGATAAAATTATATGCCATGTTGCTTGAGATGACAAAACTCTTCCTTTTAATTGAAGAAAATGAGTTTATAAAGTAACATAATCAAATTTAATCTATTATAAACGTTGTCACATTGAGCTTGTAGTAATCGTGGGATAATGAAAACTGTTGAGATATGATACTAGGACGACAATAGGTGTAAGATGATCAAACAACAATTGGGTGACTATTATGACATTCGGTCAGTAGTGTTAGCAAGTTATGAAAATCAGACCGGTTGTTGAGAATGGAGGAGGTTCAATGTTTAATGGTTCAATCATAAATTAAATCTGTTGACGTCATAAGTATTTAAATTATTTTAGTATAGTTTAAATGGTGCAATAATATACATATGATAAATATGTGACAAAAAATAAACAGTGTAATTATAAATTTAAAACTCGATATAAAGTTTATTAAGATATAAATATGTGTTAAAAAGGGGATAATTACATACAAACCATATGAAACATTGATATTTACAAATTAACTGCCCAAATGATTTTTTTGAACAATCGAACTGATGTTTGTACATGTGTCACGACCAAACTATTGAGAATTTGATAAAAATGAAAATTATGGGTTGGGGTTTCATCATGAATTATGATATTTGAGTGAGAATTTGAAAAAAGGATGGAGGGTGATTGATTTGTAAATAGCAAATTTTGGATATTTTGTATTTAATTGCCCCTAAACAAATTATACTATACATATAAAAATAAAAATAGAATTTATGGTAGTAATATAATTGCTAATAAAAATATAATTTATAATATTTAATAAGAATATAAAGAAGCTCAAAAAAATAAAATGCTTTTATTTTATTTTCACATTCCGCAACCCATTTAATATTTTCAAAGCCCAAATATCATGGCTCAATTATTCATTTTTGAAGCACAACTTAAATTTCAATATACCCACCGTTTTTAAGTCTTACATCATAAGAGAGAGTTAGTCATGCACTATTTATATGTAAAAAAAGTATCAAACTTCTAGCTTGTAACTTTCCTGGGTGGTTGGCATGCTATGGGTTAACTTTTTATTATTTAAAGGTTTTGAAATCCATAATTGTATGTTTAACTTGATATTTATTGTAGAATATATATATATATATATATACATGAGAATTAAAAGTGGTTTAAAAATATAATTTGGTTCGACTGATTTAATGTAATCGGGATTAATATACCAGTTCATGCGAACTGGTGTTTCTCATTGATTTGATTCGAAAATGGTTTTTGAGGTTAACTAGATCAACCATATACCCGATTCATGGTTGAACTAGTTGGACCGGTACGTCGAGTCTGATTTATTGAAGTTGTGGTGAGAGGATGTTGGCAGTAGGGTAATGGTGGCCGGATGGTGGTTGAGTGATGTTTTGGTTTGGCAGTAATCAGGCTAGGGTGATTAGATGACAACAACCAAGCAATGTTGAGTAAAGCTCTATTGTTTTTCAGGCCTTCAAGTTCTCTATCTCTTTCATTCTCTCAGATGAAGAAGAATGCAAGTTTATTGATAATTTTTGAGAGTGACATTTTTATTAATTTATCCAAAATTTCAATACACTATTAGACATTTCAAGTTGATTTTTTTGATTATATATCAATTTTATGGCATTCAGACAACTTAATGATTTATAATTAAGCGATATTAGGTTCTTTGAATTTCACTCGTTGACACACTCGATTTGATTATAAGTATGCATGATTTAGAGATTGTTATTTTTTTCAATTAATCTTCCTAAAGTTTCGATCATTCTTGCTTTATTTGGAGTATTTGGACTCAAATTGGTCCATTGTTGATGTCATTGGATTCACCTTGTCTTAACATTCAATTCAACTACAAATTTATTGAAATCGAAGATCAGATGATCTTACATTTAACTCCGATTGTTATCTCATCTAAAACATATCAAGATTCATGTTCAATCTAGTGGATTTTTTTTGGAGACCTATCAAGGATATACTCCCATCAAAGATGAATCAACTTTAATTTCCTAGTTATGTCTTCATCCATGTTTTGCTGACATGTTTTACTTGGTTATTTCTTTCATTGTGAAGCTTTTGACTCTTCGAATATTATTGATGAGTCAAGACTATGGATTCAATGTCTGATTCTTGCGGGAAAAGTAAATTAATTTCCAAAGTCTTTACGTCGGTCTTAACTTGATTTATTACCTTTCTCACTTGGTCTTGTTTCCTTAGAATATATTTATTAGTTTTTTTAAGTAGGTTCTAATCATTATGATGTAACTAACCCTGATCTTCAACCATACTTTGTCATTTTGAATTTTTCGTCTCCTAAAAATATTGTGAGTGGTTTTATTTTTTTCATTAAGATTAGATTTAATATCCATTACTTGCTGGCAAAGTTGATTAGCTTTTAAGTAATAAGTTGGTCATTAACATGATTTATTTTAATGCTCAGTTGGTCTTGTTATTCCTCGCAATTCATTCATTTACGTTTTCATTTTATTCAAAAAATTATCATTATGTTGATTTGTTAGCTCACCCTTATATTTTGTTTTACTGTATTCATTTTAATATGACCTTTAAGCTTTGATACACGTTTGATTGGAGTACGTCTAATGCATACCTAGAATGATAATGGTAAGAAAACATACAAAACAAAAACAAATTTGTAGCTTTCAAATTTTTAGTTTAAGAAAAGATAAATTTTCTGTATTGTCAAGTTCGAAGACATACTTCATTTCTAACAATAATATAAAACATGCTAAAATTTAAAATTTCGTGAGAAATCTAATACTGAGTAGCAAATCTATTGCAATTAAAATTAGAGTAGAAAATAAAATCGGCATGTCTTATATTTGACAAAATCTTACTCATACGGGCATAAAAACCATCCAGATGACCAACGGACTTGTCCCTTGTTGGTTGCTTTGCCTTGTTTTGATTTGTAGTTTTGCCGAAGCTGATGGATCTATCAGCAATTTCTTGTTTTTTTGTCTCGTCATTCTTTTGCTCTTAAAGACACTTGTTTATCTCAACCAAGGAGGTGAAAAAAATGAAAGTAGAATTTTTTTTAATAATTGTTTGGTTCAGTTCAAGTTTATTTATTTTTTTATTATTCTTCTTCTGCAGAGCAAATGTGGTACACGGATAACTCCAATGGTGCAGTGGCCTGATAAGTCCTTTTCACTTGGACTAATGCAGACACTTGCTTGGAAGAGATCAGGTCTCATGCTGCGGCCGAGCATCCAGCTCAGGTTTTTCCTCTTGCTCAATCTACTTTATGATCAAGGAATTGTTAGATTTTGTTGTGTTTATAGTTGTCTGTCCTTTATTTTTTTTATTGTTCGTTATGAATGAATTTGAAACTACAACAGTTTGTCAGCAAGATGAATATCCTGTCTGGAAATTTATAAAAGCTTTTTTGTTTTTATACTTATTATTCTCTTTCATTGGGAGATTAAAAGGCTAATGCTGGATCATACCATTTGGTGAAACATTAGTTCATTACATGTTCTTTTCACCTTTACTTTACGCGGAGTCACATCTCATTGTGCCAAAAGCAGCTTTAAGCTTGGCAAGCCTTTCTTAGCATTCATGTTTCTGTTTCAGGACCTGTTCCTTGCAAAATGGTGCTTTCATTGACAAAGTGAATTTGGTAGTAGTTTAAATCATGTTTCTGTCATTTCTTGTGAGCTTTAACGGTTTCATAGCTACTAATTCTTTATGCACGCATGGATTCTTGTATTTATGTATCAATTCGTGGAACTGAGCTTGGCTCAACACTTTGATTTAAGTTCCATTCCAGCGTTGTTTAACTTATTAATCGACACTTTACTGTCAATCTGATCCATCCGATCCAAAAGTCGAGCTTATCTTTTATGTGATTTTTTTTCTTTGATTTAAATTCCAACTTCCACACATATTGGATAATTGCTGAGATTTCCAGTCAATTGGAGAATCACTTTTCCATTTGACAATTAGGCGGAGTTTCAACTATTTAGTACCTTATGCTATGGTTCGTTCATTTTATGTCAAACAAAATCATTTGGGCCTTCTATCTAGATTTCAGAATGTTTTCTTGTATGTGAAAGTAATATTCCCTTTTTGCAATGTTACTATGATGCAGAGAAAAAAAAAAGAAAAAAAAAATCAGATGAAATGAACTTTTGTTTATTCATTATAACTTTGAAGCTCTTGATTCCAAATAAGAAACTTTGTTCTTTTTGCATTTTTCTTAAATTTGACAAGAGATTGGTCAGTGACAATGCAGCCAAACTTTGAGATCTGGTTAGTCAAGTGGCTTCAATGACCGAGGAATGAATGTTCTCATCTCTTGAGATTTCTTTATACATTTGGGATCGTGATTTGATCCATTTTTTTAATTCCTAATTCTTGAGTTTCATTTATTTACATCTTTGATAGATCAATAATTATCTTGATTTTTCTTTCCTCCTTGTTCATCCTATGCTAGATCCATAAGAGTGCTCATTTTAGGGTGAATTTTTTAGCATTTTCGGAATTTGTCTTTTTATTACTTGGTCTACTTCAAGCTTACTGTTTTAGAGTTGAATCCTTGAGAAGCTTGCTAACTTGTCTGAAGTCATTTTTTTTTATTTTGAAATTGCATACTATTTTTCTTGGTAGTGGTTATTGGATTAGCATTCACAGTACAGTTTCTACTGCTGTAACTCGTGTTTTATGTTGCATATGAAGCTTCAAACAAGTGTGATTCAAGTATTTTTTTGGCCCATATGACAAAAGCTATTATTGTTTCTGCGATTAACTTATAAGTAATTGCATTTTAAATGGTTTTTTAAACCATTATTAGCATATGCCCGACTGTTGGCGGAAACAATCCTGGGCTGCGTGCAGAGCTGGTCCACTCTCTGAAGGAAAAACTCAGTTTTATCTGCGGATTGTCTTGTGCTGCTCACTCTTCGGCATTTGCTTCTCTTGCTGTAAGTTCACGATTATTAGATTTGTTAATTTACTTGTAACTTTTTTTTAACATAAAAATATTGTGAAAAAATGCTTAGAGTTAACTTATTTTGCACGTGAAAATATGTGGAAAGAAGTATTCTTCTGTTTTGTTGCCCTCCATTGGAAATTCAACTCAATTTTTTTCCAGCACGTCAATTGCAGCCTGTTGCTCTCCGCCCATTGGTCATCGAAGTAGGCTGCAACCACTCGTTGCCAATCATCACCTACCGCTTGCCGCACCCCATCTGCCTATAGCCATTGCCACCTGCCGCCGCCTCTTGCCACTAGTTGTCATCCATTGACTGATTCAATCCCAAGCACTATCAGTACTGCAGTTGTCGCAGCCCATTACCACATGCCACTGCCATTCGGCCCCACCACTTCCAACTGTGTTTTAATAGCTATAGAGAACAAATAGTATTGATATGCCATCAATAACATATAGAACAAATAGTATTGATTTGCCATCAATAAATTTCCATCATCACAACATGAATCTCACGGCCTTGCCGCACCCCACTTGCCTATAGCCATTGCCACCCATATAGAGAACAAATAGTATTGATATGCCATCAATAAATCTCTATCATCACGACATGAATATCACGGCCTTGCCGCACCCCACCTGCCGCACCCCACTTGCCTATAGCCATTGCCACCCACCGCCTTCGCCACCACCAGCATGTGTCGCATATTTATTTCATTTTTTTTTCTTCAAACCAAATGCAAATATTTTAACACCTGCACTTAGTTTACACTAAACCAAATAACTTTAAAGTATCTCAAACACACCACATTTCAATTGCACTGTATTTCTTTATCAGCAAACCAAACAGCTTATAAATCTGTTTATATTACATGCACCATTCTGCTTCACCAACATTTTTTGTTTGAATTGTATCACATGATCTGTGTAGGTCGGGAGATCAAAATGGAATGGCAATGCAGGGAGCTCCGGAATCGTTGTGAGATTGGAAACTCCTCTCAATGGAGTTGCCATGCCATCCTTCTCTATTCAGCTCAACAGTGGTTTAGAGTTTTGATTTACATTTTCTCTGTACAGTTTAAATTGTGCATATATATATATATATATATATATCCCCATCCATGT